CATGTATTATAGGCAGTGCCTAATGTCTGAGAGAAATAAATTTAGGAGGTATTCCTGGAGACCTCAAATCACAGAGGACTCTAAAAGGTTTGAGGTTAGAATTTTCTGCCCTAGGAAACTACAGCTGAGCAATAAGTTATTGTGAAACAATTCAAATTCCATACTAACAGCAAAATGTTTATTAATCCCTAGTTAGAGGTAAGAAAAATTTTGAGACAGGTTTAAGAATGATGGGTCATTCTTTTGAATTGCTTCTTTATTCACCTCATCTTTAGGTGGCAGCACTACTATATAAATATCTTTAAAACTACAGTCTTCGGCAACTTGATATCCTAGAAGAGTGTTTTGTCCTAAATGCATCCAACTCTATTGTGGAGATTAGAAATATGAAATCATCCCTGAGAATTAGAATACTTAGGAGGTTCTAGAGGAGGAAGAACAGAAAGGCTTTCAAAAGAGGTTAATACATGGAGTTAATGAAAGAAAATATTTGAAAGTTAAAAACTTTCATAAAAAGCTTTTTCTTTTTTTTTCTAGCTGTATGAGGAGCAAGTAGCATCTTTACTCTAAACCTGATCTTGTATTGAACCAGCACAAAATACTACCTTCCAAAGCAAACCATACTTTCTTAATACTGTATATTAAGAATTTACAAGTTTAAACTTGCTAGTTGTATTGTTGCCAGTATTCTAACTACAATTTTATTTTATTTTTTAAGTAAGTGCTATGCTCAACATGGGACTTGAACTCATGACCCCCAAAGTTAGAGTTGCATGCTCTACCGACTGAGCCAGCCAGGCACCCTGAACTACAATTTTAAAATTGGGGTGCAGTCTTCTTCACTAAATTGGATCAAGCTTGTGAGGATCCCGAATAACACCTTATTGTTGACCCTTGTGGAAGAGAAGAACTCTTCTTGGCTCCTTTCCTCCCTTCCTAAATTGTTCATATACAAACCAAACCACCATTACTCAAACTCAGAGAAGTGATAATACAAGCTAAACTATATAAACTGATAGCAACTTACAGATATTCTATATCTTAATTTCTGCCACAGTGTTTGAGGGTAATAAATTGTGATGTATGGGGGGCTATTTGGATCAAGTATTCTCTAAGTAGAACTTTGTCATAATTAATTTTGTGTATTTACAGTAATTCTTCCTGTACCCCTTTATCCAAGCAACCAAACAAAATTGAATTTACATGCATTTCAAAATAGACTATGTTAGATTTACAGTATAAACAAAATTACCAAAGAATGTAGAAGTATGACCATCAGGAGCGGGAAATCAAATTATTTCTGGGTAGAGGATGAAGTGTTAATAAAGTCATTCTTGATGACAGCTTCCATCTTTCTCAGGTCAAATTTGGAGAAAGAGTCCCAAGCAAATTGGTAGAGCTCAAACTCAGCAGTATTATGTTAAGATTTTTAAGCTCTCTGGTGCCAGCAAATCATGCAGCCTGGGGGCCTTTGCTCCAAACTTCTGCCAACTCCATTTTGGCAGTAAACTGTTCTGTTGAACAAAGTTTGCACGTGTTTGGGGTGTGAAGTGGTTCCTCAGGCATTTATCTGGTTTTTTTCCAGTTTGGGGACTTGAAGACAAGAGTCAGAAGCATGAGACTTGTATAGATCATATGTGCCCTGGCAGACTACGTTAGTGATCTTGAATTTCCACCTAAACAAGGGCAGCTTTTTCTTTGTTGGTGTAGGATTTATTGAAGTGGACTGCTTAGTTTACTCCTTAAATGCTAACATGATATTGAACCAGTTCTCAAAAGCAGGTAAGTAGAACCCCCTCTGTTGAGGGTACAGAGCTGTGGCAAATCACTCCTCATCCTCCTACCTACAATACCACCTCACACCACTTGAGAGCAAAGAGGCCAGTAATTATTTAAACTTGATTTCACTGTCATATATAACTATGAGCCACTGATCTTTTTTGGTATTAGTTGTCTGGTTTTATCTTTTTTACCTACTTTTTCCCATCCTGGAGTCATTAGTTAACAACACTTGGTCCAGTTGTATGTGCTAATTTGTGTCATTTCCGGGGGTCCCTCTTCCTGTGGGAAACATATACATTCTCAATTTCCTTTATTTTTTCAAATAATCCTCGTAGAAAATCCTTGCATAATCCAGGGTAACCTTTTGAAAGCCATTAAACTGCTATTGGAACATTTTCTTTCTTTCTTTCTTTCTTTTTTTTTTCATTTTCTTTTTCCTGGTTTAGGAGTAATGGAAAGGAAAAAGTACAAAAGTAAAAGTTACAGATGTTGAAATGATACTGTTACTTTTCACCATGATCAATGGAATGTCAATTTGTAAGATACCGTATGGTAACTTGAAAATGGTAGTTATTTTTGATACTTTTGCCAAGAGTGTGACATAAATTCCTATTTGCACCTTTCCCAAGTCAAAACTGACCTATGGATGAGGTTAGAAAGGAAGAAGAAACCTGGGCCTTTCCAAAAAGTGAATCTATCTGGACTGAAAGTACTATGGAATGTTGTTGCACATTTTATGGTGACCCCAAAACTCTTCTGTTTGCTTACTTTAAAATATAAATGTGTTGTAATTTTACTACCTGGAGCAAGACTAAATACATGCATACGTGGGTGGATGTGTACATACAACCAGATTGCTCTGCCCTCTGAAGCTAATTTAGACCATTTTTATAACTAAATGCAGTAGCACTTTGCAATTAGATGATCAGTTGGTTTCTTTCAGTGGTGAGTGAAATATGTCAGGGGAAAAATCAAGATAATCCTCTGTGGGAAAAATACAAAGTAAGTTCTTTCTTTAATATTTTGTGCTCTATTTTTATCTTTAAGTACACTTT